CACGGATCTTGGAGCGCGCCTGACGCCACTGTTCGATCTCTCGCTCTCTGGCTTCAGAAAGCGGCGCCATGTTGATGATGATGACGAAGAAGCAGAGAGGACAGACTGTACCACTTGTAGAACAGGGGTCAGAGGGTGTGATCAGACTTTTCCTCTGCATAGCGGGTTATACCACAGATTGTTCAAGCAATATGCTTGATAAAGCGGCACATCATCGAGGTTCAAAATCAAACTCGCCCTTATAATTCTTCTGTCTAGAAATGTGACATTGAATCCGAGACATAGGATTGCTTTGACAGCTTTCCTTCTTTGGGTATAACGGTTACTGGGTTTATAATGTCTATATTATAACGTTTACCAGTCACATAGCTCAAAGGAAAGCAACAGAAAATACTATTAAATGCCGTTTTTTTCAGTAGTGTACACATTAAAAAGTTGACAGGGAAAAAATTTAGCGGAATAATGTAAAAGAAATTGAAATAATGTGTAGACCATTGGAAAATAATACTTAAAAAGATGACAATCATGCAAATCAGCATCTAATTTGGATGGTTGATGAGGAAATTTTATAAATTTCTCGCGTTTCACCGCTAGGTCGTTGCCCTTCCCCCCTGTCCCAACTTTCAAAGTTATATGGGGGTTAACAATATATGACTTTTCAACAGCTCATATCCGGTGACTTTTCCTATTGCATGCAATGGTTTAATAAGGCCCCTTCTTTGCAACTGTGACGCGCGTCCAAAACAGACATCACGCCAGCACTTTCAAGATCATGCCGTCTCCTAGGTTACCCTGGAACCCGGAAGTATGTGGCCGGGAGTAATTGGGGACAATCCAGTAACACTTGTGAACTGGTGTGGTACAACAAGGTTCTTGTCGGCAAGATTACGCAAAAAACATTCGAGTATTTAAGAATACGTTAAGGGAACATGACATGCAAATTCTGTAATTAACATATCAGGCCTTACCGCACCTGTAGGATTTAAATTTTCACACCCCTCTCGAGGCAGAAACGGTCGGTCCCCTCATGCTTGCTCTTGTACTGACGTCTTGTGACTAGCCCAGAGGTCAGGCGGACAGAGCTACGACAGGTTCCCGAGATGGCCGAGACTAACCTGACCTTCCACGTCCCTCCGCCCTTCACGTTTGAGACCGACTTTAACGGCCCGGAGTTTCACCTGTGGTTCAGTAATGTCTGGAAAACAGGTGAGTGCAGACAACATATCTAAAGTCCCCCCTCCCCTCTTCGCCGGAGAGTGTCAAAAGTTCAAGGCAGAGAGCTGCAGTATTATAGGGTTATTGAGTTCAGTGATACTTATGCACAGTAAAGAGTATACATTACGTCTTCCATGGTTTACAGAAGAGAAGTCAAACCCTTCAGACATAGTTTTAGACATAGTTCTAGTTCTAGACAGCTACCTTCATCACGTAGACTATTTTATACTCTGTCAATGTTCTTTTATGTTTTTGTAATTTGCAATTAGCCTCCGGGCACGAATTTGCAATAAACTTTCATATATTGTTTCGTACATGTTAAGTTAAGTTAAGTTTACCCTCAACACGTTGCGTTACACGTGTAACAATCAGCTGACACTAACAGTTACCGCGGGGTCTAGATGTCACATTTATGTGAATTTGGTAGGTGGACGTTAATAAATCGATATGAAATGAGGTGACTGACAGATAAAAACTATATGTGAAAGGGAGAATTTGGGGATACTAAACAGCTAGCCACTCTAGACGCTGAACACCGCCATTTTCGTGAGATCTTTTGTATCTTATATCAAGGAACAATAGTCCGTGTTTTATATGTGACATTGCCTGTGGGCCAATTTTGCTGCGTAGACTTCTGAGAATCGAAGGCCACCTTTTGTCAATCAACAATCATTCCGCTCCACTTTTCAGCTATTTGCTCAATTATAAATTATCCACATGATACCAGGATTCATATTTCCACAACAATTCATAATAGTCACATTACTTCAGTATGTTACATGTTTTTCAGTTTTTCCATAAAAAAGGTCACATTTTTATATCTGTTAGTGTCAGTCCGTCCTATTAGTATGGACTATATAGTCCGGTGACAACCATGTGCCATAAAATTGTCGTTCTTGAGAAATGATTAACTAAATTGACCTTTACATGGTGGGATACGCAATCATCCACACGTAACACGTTCGGTCTTGTTGTGTTGACTGAAGGAAAACATACTGTTTTTGCTCTGTTTCCTCCTCTTCTTCTTCTTCTTCTCCAAACCAATAAGGTCATTGACCTGAACCAGACGTCTGTCACCATGGAAACTGGTGTTGGGTTACATCATGTTGAGCGCCATGCAGAACTGAGTTATTGCATGATCACCACATATATGAATTTGTTTGACTAAGAATAAAGAATAAACAAATCAGTAGTTTGTTTAGGTGGGCCATGTGAAGGTAAACATAATGCCTTTGCTGCAAATGTTACCTTTCTAGTTATAATGTGATTTTTAAATAAGCCTTGAATGCGGAAAAATCGTGTTTATTTGTTTATTTCTTCATGACCTAATTCCTTGGTGGCTACGGTCAGTAGTGCCGATCAAAGATCTGTCCTGTTTAGGGCGGTCAAAGTACTGGTTTAGGTAATGTTGACCCACGATAAATAGATGTGGCCGACTTCTACCTACCGGGCATGTGCGGTGTAACGCAATCGAAAAGGAATCGCAACACCACATGGTGTTACGCCACAACGTTGCAATTTGTCAATATACGTACACGTAAACTATTGAATACATACTACAGAGAACCGCAATGTGGTAAAATGTTGACTCTATGTCACCAACTGTCACTGAAAACTACGTATATGGCCACGGGGAAAAACTATAACATGACAGCGTTTTGGAATACAATCCTATAATTGTAATGTAAGAAGGGGCGTTCCGTTTCAGTATGAAGTGGCGTAGTTTTCCTTGTAAGAATATACTAGTATATGAGAAATAAGAATATATGAGTCTCGAACTCTACCAGGCTTCTGAAGCGGCTGGGAAGAGTAGAAATTAGCATAATAGACAGATGACAAGTCTGGGGAGTAGGTTAGTAGTACAGTTTTTGAGTGGCAAACTGTACTCCTTTAACGAACCAACTTCCCTGGCATGTTGTAACTTGGTCAATTTCTACTCTTTTTAGCCGCCTCTGAAGTCTGTTAGAGGCTAAGAATATTATCAACATGACACGTGCTGTCGGTAAGTAGAATGGGCGTGCCGCTTGCAACTTTGGCATTTATTGCATCAGATCTTCCACGTGTCGAACGGAGAAAAGTAATGAACTTTGAAAAGTAATGAACTTTGCCTGTACATAATCTAGGTATTTGTAATACCCACGAAGTTGGTCGCCCTGGCTATAGTCCTGTACCACGAAGTTGACCCGTATGTGCAAAGAGGTTAACCGCCAACCAGCGAGGTCACCAGATTAACGGATCGGAGGATCGGAGGATGAGAAAGGTTGATATAACTTATAAGAATGATCCCACACAAATTTTTCACGCATCCCTCTTGAAGCCCAAAATCTGACGCGCGTGTGAAAAAAATCCGTGTTGGCACTGGCGTCCTTGTACTTTTTTTCAGCAAGGTAAAGGTACGGTTTCTTAAAAGTAACATTTTGATTTGTCTAAATTTCTCAAAGGAACTACAAAGACTAACATAGTGACATGGCATTGAAATAATTGCATGGCTTGCAGGATATGTGCTGGCTGCGGCCTACGTGGTGCTGGTGTGGGTCGGGCGGTGGTACATGGAGGAAAGGCCCGCCTACAACATGCGCTCTCTCCTGGCCATCTGGAGCGCCTGCCTCAGTGTCTTCAGGTATGATTTTTCTACAAAAACTATTTCATACTAAAAAACCAAGATTTGTCTCGTTTTTTTCTCTTATTTAACAAAACATAACAGAGGCTTTCTGTGTTGAAACTGAACTAAGTTGCTGTAATTCACATAACAATTGATACTTTCTAATCTGTTCCCCACATCTTACAATAAAAATGATGCCTTAAAATGAAGACGTTGTACATCGATATGCCGTCTACACACATGTCCAGACCAAAGATATCATAGTAATATAGAATCTATTCGTCTTTTTCCTCAGCATTATGGGTGCCTTGCGTTTGAATGCGGTGTGGCTCCACGACTTCAGAGAGCGCGGCCTAACGCACAGCCTGTGTAACGGGCACTGGTTGACTGCACCCATCTCAGGGTTCTGGGCTGTGGCCTTCACTCTCAGCAAAGTGAGGAACACCTCATCATTCGATTGAAATAAGAAGATCATGTATATAAGATATTTTACCAAGTAAATATGCTTAAGGTCATTAAGTAATAAAATATGTCAATTTATGCATTTATAACGTTACTGAACTGTAACGAACGATTACCAACATGACACGTGCTGTCGGTATGTAGAATGGGCGTGCCGCTTGCAACTTTGGCATTTATTGCATCAGATCTTCCACGTGTTGAACGGAGAAAAGTAGTGAACTTTGCCTGTAAATAATCTAGATATTTGTAATACCCACAAAGTGAACCTGGTTATAGATCCTGTACCACGAAATTAACCCTGTATAAGTGCAAAGAGGCTGACCGCCAACCAGTGAGGTCACCAGATTAACGGATCGGAGGTTTTAGCGTTAAGGTCCTTTGTTTACTCACGACTTATTAATGCATTTATAACGTTACTGAACTGTAACGAAAGATACCTGTGAAAACAGCGAGCGCTACCAGGTGTAGAAGTAATTAATGACTCACTCTGGAGTAGACTGAAACTAACCATATCCGTTACAACCTGAGCCAAGCGGAAACACACACACACACACACACACACACACACACACACACACACACACACACACACACACACACACACACACACACACACACACACACAAGCATATAAAAACAACACCTCAATTTTTCATGGAGGTAACAATACATTTGTTTCTTAAATATTTTTTACCATAGGCAGTTGAGTTTGGTGACACGTTCTTCATTGTGGCGAGAAAGCAGAAGTTGATTTTCCTCCACTGGTACCACCACGCCCTGACCCTGATAGCCGTGTTCTACCAGTACGTCAACCTAACAGGCCCAGCACTGTAAGTACGGAGGCAACCAGAGAGTCCACACGTCTCTTCAGTAGCCTCTCCTTTTGCAACCCTACACTTGGTGTCAGCGGTGGGATATCTACGTTGAGTAGTTGGTTTAAAAGTAGCAAATTGGTGGACTGAATGGATTTTGTATGACTTACGCGCGGGTCTGCAACTTTTAACCAGAAGATTAGTGATCAAACGTGGGACTGATTTAGATTCAGATAATCATATGATGTAGGAAGGAGATTTCCTGTCGTGTCTTCTACTATGTATGTCGGAAATCTACGAGTGATTTCTTACTGTTAACGAAATCTATGAGTGTTTTCTTACTATTTACGAGAAAATGATAGCATTAAGAACATGGCAGTAATCAGGAATTAGTACGCTATCACCCAAAAGGCGGTGATACTGAAACGCCGGTGCGAGGATTTTGACTCCGAATGTCTATCGTTCTTTCGTTCTACTCTCTGAAGGTTTTTCATGTGCATGAACTTCTCTGTGCATGCGCTGATGTACCCGTACTACACCCTGAGGGCTTCCCGCGTTCGGGTTCCCAAGGCCGTTGCCATGGTGATTACAACCTTGCAGGTGCTTCAGATGATCACAGGTGTGTTGGTTATATCATTGCTTTTGATAAAGTTGTTTTTGATAAACCTTTTGACCACAACAGAAGCAAAAAAGGGACTATATATATACTTGTAGACGATTAACGAATTGTTTTGGACACGTGACATAATGAATCAAATGTACACGAAAGTCCATATGCATATTGCCTCTAGTCCGTGTTTTGCTGTTTTAGCTGTTTAATTGTTTTCAAACGCAACACGCTTTCATTTTCACCTATTGTATTGAGATTGGCAAACTATGGGAGTATATGTCATTTGTGTATGGGGGCGTCCCAAACAATTCTTAACATGCTATTATGTGTTTCTAGGCCTTGTTGTAATCTTTTATGTGTACGGAGTGGTGAAATCCGGGCGAGACTGCAACTGGAGCGACGAGAGTTTCTACACTATGTTCCTGGTGTACGGCAGCTTCGCCGTGCTCTTCCTCAACTTCTTCATGAAGTCCTACCTAGCCAAGCCGGTACGCGACAAGAAGGAATAGATGCCTCCGCCCCTGGGGCGTCGCCAAGAAAAAACACTTCGTCATGTCGAATTAACTCCCTGTGAACGCATTATGAGCATGGATGCACCAAGCCCTGGACTGCATTCTTTAGCGAGCGAATGTAATAATGAAAGAAAAATTCATCAAAGTGTTACTTTGCACTGTGCATTACAACAAATCTATAAAGGAAACAACTGTAGGAAAACAACCAATGATGATATAACTTCATACATGGCGGCATTAAATGTGTTAAAATATATTTACTAAAATGTTTAAAAAGGAAAGCCTAGTTTGCATGATTTACATGTATGCTTGATGTCAGATACAGAGAATGAAACGATTGTAATTGTAAAATGGCTCTATGGAACTAATGATGTACACAAAAGTGTTAGGTAGAGTGCAATCTATTACATATGTAATATTTACATATATTGTTGCGAGGCACATTTACTAACTAAGAGCATATTGAGACGATCGATGTGGATCAACTTTAATTTTTTTTTCATAATGACCTCTTGATACCTATTTTGTTACCATTGTGCAATCATGACGTTTCAGCACTGATGATGTATTTCAGTGTTTCTTCTTAACTAAGCTTTATACACACATAAACATCGGTGTATTACTAGTATACCGACGGACAGACAGACACAGAAACACATAGTATGAATATAACTTCCGAAAAATGTTTCATCAGGTTGATAAAGTATAGGATACGGGAGTTTTCTTTTACACAACCAAAATATAAAAACCTCACCTAAGTGCTGACGTTTTCGCCGCAAAAGCACCACCATATGAGGGATTAAAGAGGCCATCTACATCAGGGCACTCAGAGACGGGGGGCGCCACAGACTTTCTGAAAGCTATGATCTATTGCTCACGGAGTCACGTGTGTTATCTGCGTGACGTCACGGAAGCGTTGGATTGTTCATTTCTTGACAAAGACTGGAGTTGTACGGTCGAAAATTTGGGTGAGTCCAATTTGTTGTGTTGGAAAGTGCAGTTCAAACTTGTTACACGTAGTTTAGTGTGTCCTCTCGGCCGTCGACGTCGTAGTGCACCAGTAAGGCTGCGGCGATGCAGGCGGTGAAGGCCAGCACGCTGGAGCACACCGTCACGGAGATGACGCTGCCCACGGCGGCCACGATGGAGCCCATACTGGCGCCGATGACGATCTGAGACAGCTGGTTTTGGAAGGACACCAGCGCGCAGTCGATCCCCATGCCGCGGCGCTCCGACCCGTCCACGCCGGTACGGATGTACTGTTCGTGGAGGGGAGGGGGGTAATTTTAGCACGTTTCTCGTTCTGTCAGAAGCAACATTTTCCAAACCTGTCCTAGCTACACTGTACTTTCCTATCTCTAGTATCTTTAGCCAGAATAGTAGCCTAGTACTATAGAAATGTGGTAACGTCCCTTGGTGTAATCTCCAAGCAGATCTTTCGGTGGCTGCAGAGACAGTATCAAATTGGCCAGGCAGTATCTATTTGCCAGACAGTTACCATTTGCCACCCTATCGACGTGTATGGCCATGGCCAGTTCTAATCGTAACGCTTTTGCCGCCAGACATCTGCTTGGAAAATACCATGGTAGCCTTGTATTTTATTGTATGTATTATATAATCCGCAGTATCAAACCCGGGACCGATATTATAATGGTTCCGCGTCCATGGCCAACGCTCCAACCGTTGCGCCACCGACGCAAATAACGGAAAAGAGCAGATGAAGAAATGTCTTACCTTGTCCCGTGTGTGGTACCGTGAGATGAGTTTGTAGGGGATGTTGTTGAGGGTGCCGTACATAATCCCCATGACCGGACACAGGAAGATGATCTCCCAGCGCACCTCCGTCAGCTGGGCGATGATGGCCATACTGCCGATCCCTGCGCCGAACGCCAAGTACCCGAAGATGTACATGGTCCGGTACGACAGGTGGGTAAGGATCCGCTCCAAAGACACTGTGGTGAGAACAAAAACGACAATTTAAGAAGTTTCGTGAAATATGACCAAAAGGGCTAAACGTTCTATCCAACAATAAGTAAATTGGGACCAAATTTTCGACCGACACCGTCAGCCTTGTTCACGGAATGGACCCTTCTACTGGAGCTTCCCGGACGTGACGTCGGAAACACGTGATGGCAGCAAAGGATGTGTCAGATAACCTGTGTCGCCCCCCGTCGGAGTCGGTCGAAAATTTTCTCCAATCTACTCCTAACCATCATCACTGACATAGAAGACCGAAGATCACATAGACAAAGACTGCAATGTACTTACTTGAGTAGAGAGCACACGAGGCTGCGTTGATGGTGAGCCCCCAGCAGCCGATCATCACGCCCTGTTCGTACAGGACCCTGTCAGGACTGTCCACCGGGGCGCTCGGGTTCCCCTTGTACACCCCCCGGCCCATGAAGTCGGTGAAGAACAACATGACGGACAGGAAGCTCGCCCAGCCGAGGAAGTGGGACACGCACAGGCAGGCCAGTTCCTTGGGCATCCGGAGGATCGATCTGAAGTAGGCGGTGATGGACAGCCGCTGGGCCAGCTCGGTAGCCGGTGTGTCCCGGTTGTCTGTGTCTTGTGAAGCGCTACCGAAGTCTTCATCAGAAGGGTCCCCGCCGCCATGCAGGGACGACACTAACACCTTCTGCAAGCCTTTCTCACACGAGAGAACAGCCGGGTCGTCGCTCATGTACATCACGCCGTATTTAGGATCCACTGCGATGACGGTTAGGGGGTCTTTCTTCAGTGCATGTTCTCCCGGTCCCACTGACTGCCTCCTCGCACCTTTCTGAGGACCGACTTGCAGCGCACCTAGCGGCACCTCCGGTATACTGCAGAGGTTGAGCACGAGGCAGGCGGAGAAGATAACACACAGAATAACAAATATCGCGTGATATTCAGAACCTGGTAGGAAACCAAGTTTGGTCCAGTCGATCGCTCCTGTGGCGTAGCCAAGAAAGCCTCCCAAACCTGCCAAAGAACAGGACATTGGCTTTTTATTGGTTGACATACACCAATATGCAATAAGGCCACAGCAAGTGGATGGCATCAGCGCGCGCATTAATTTTCGCTTGATTTCGGAAAAAAAATTGCTGCCTTTAAAGAGAGTAGGCTCTGACTTAATGTTTTGTTTCTTACTGATGCAGTGATATTTAATGCTGACAGTGCATATTTGATGTTCCCGCTGAATCAAAACCATTGCACCAATGATTGAGTCAAAATTTTAAAATGTAGGAACCTTGTTTTTTCCGGCCCGCCTTTTTTCCGCCCGCTCACATTAGATTTGGAGTCTGCGGAGGATGTCATCCATAAAATTTACTTGCTGTGGCCTAACTAAGGCTTTTCATTGACGTCATAATAATTAGCATATGAATCTCTGTAACACAGACATACTGTAATCCAACATGGCGCATAGGAAAAGCCTGTATAACATGGCGGCTAAATTTGAACTTCAGTCGTAAGTATTACAGTTTTATCCTTACCTTTGCCAAGAAGGTTGTGTTTTCAGTGGCGTTAGTGTGTGTGCCTCTGTGTGTTTGTGTGTGATTGTGTGAGTGTGTGTGTGTATGTGTGTTATGAGTGTGAGTGCGCGTGTGTGTGTGTATGAGTGTGAGTGCGTGTGTGTGTGTGCCTGTGTGTGTGTGTGTGTGTGTGTGAGTGAGTGAGTGAGTGAGTGAGTGTGTGTGTGTGTATGTGCGTGTCTGTGTGTATGTGTGTGAGTGTGTGCGTGTCTCTGAGTGTGTGTGTGTGTGTGTGTGTGTGTGTGAGTGTGTGCGTGTGTGTGTGTGTTTGTGTGTGTGTGCGTGCGTGCGTGTGTGTGTGTGTGTGTGTGTGAGAGAGAGAGAGAGAGAGAGCGAGAGAGAGAGAGAGAGAGAGAGAGAGTGTGTGTGTGTGTGTGTGTGTGTGTGTGTATGTGTGAACACGATAACTTGATAAGGCTATCATGGATTGTTTTGATATTTGGTATTTGGGATGTGGGTAAGTCTTCATGAGACATCGAAATAATTAGATTTTGGGCCCCTGGTGGTTTGTTGCCGTAACGGCACCGGAACTCCCAGTTTTAATATCTCCTGATCTGATGCTATTTGGATGGTAGATAGCTCTTGTGCTCGGGAAGAAGTGACGTACTTTTAGGCCCCTAGCAGCTTGTTTGGGAACTACAGGGGCGTTTGTTTGAAAACGTTTAAAGTAAGGATAACCCAAGAACCGGTTGACAGATTGTCGTTACTTTTGGTATGTAGGTAACTTAGGTATTGCTTGACATAATTAGATGACATGTTTACTTTTTCTCCTACAGAAGTGCACGTACCTGACAGGACCCCCTGCATGTCCAGACCCCGCCTGCGGTCCCTCTCCACACAGTTGTCCAGCAGGTAAGCCTTGATCGGACTCTCGATGAAGTCTGCGGCGAAGTCGAACAAGATGGCGCCGAACATGCTGACGGCCAGGGTTGCGGTATGCGCGTTTTCCCGGTCTGCTTTCTGGCGGCTACGGCTGTGGTCTCCAACAATAACTGTAGCAAAAACAGATGTGTCATGTTTACCTTCACATGGCCCAGCTTAACATCAGCTTTGTTTGTTCTTACTCAAACACATTCATATACAATGTATATTGTGACCATGCAGGCCCTCTTGAACTCTGCATGGCACAAAGTGATCAATGTGAACCCACATACCGTGTACAACAGCGTCGCCGTTCAGAAAGAGCGCAAAGCCCAGAATAATGGCGATCCCGAACGCCAGGATGAAGGGGCGGCGGCGGCCCCACCGGCAGCGGCAGTGGTCGCTCACCGAGCCGAGCAGAGGCACGAAGATAAACCCGAACACTGGTGCGATCAGCCACACGATGCTGCAACAAGAGAGCACATTCGTTATTGAAATTAGCGTGCTTACAGACTGAGATGGTGACAGATAGTGTAGAAAAGGAGAGAGCCCGCTTCATCTCTCCTATTCCATCTCTGACGAACGTACCACCCATGTCGTTTCTGCTAGACTAAGTATCAAATCTATCGTGGTTTGAGGCAACTCTCTTCGAGGCTGCAGGGGCTCTTCGCTGCGGCAGTGCCCGACTAACTGTTCAGCCGTAGATGAGTTTTTGTGGTGGGCTATTGTCGTGCAAAACTCCTACGGGTAACTACTTGAGTCGGGCGGCGGAGAGCTCCTGCATCCCCGAAGAGAGTCGGCCCAAACCACGATAGGCTAGACACCAGGCTATGTAAACTCTTGCACAATGCACAAGTAGTGGATACACGAAGCTCTAGATTTCTGTTCTCAAGTGCTAAATTTTTAGAAGGAGTTTAGGTAAACATTGATGCATACCTGTACATCTCCCTGGGCATGCCGATGGTCATGAGAACGGGCAGCACGAGGGCGGCCTCCAGAGCGTAGCAGAACTCCCGCCCGAGCAGGATCGACCCGTTCATCAGCAGCTGCCGCCAGGAGCGCCGCGGCACGGCCGCCACGCCGGCGGGAGACGCCGCGGAGTCTCTCCGCAGCAGCGACGCCTGCTCTTCGGTCTTCATCTCTGCCGAGCTCGTCAGAGTGGAGAAAAAAACGACCAAAAGCTAAAAACTGTCCGTCTAAACGTAAATATCGGCTTCAAGCAAGCGGGTCTGAAAAGTATATAATCAGAACTGCTGAATCAGCGCTGTAGGTTGGAATTATAATCGCGAATTGTAATCGCAAAATTTGGTTTGATAGTGCTTTTGAAGCTTAGTCTGAAGATCTGTATCTGACATTATCAGAATCTTTATCCAAAGAGGAGGAATTGAGTATAATTGAGCCAGTTCCAGACCCCCCTCCCCCTCGACAGAGTGGAGCGTGACCTATTTTCAAGCCGCATTGTCAAAAATTAAAACAAAAGTCATCGTTCCAGTACGGGATGTCCAAGACGAGTAACTGAGTGCTACGAATGTACAGTAGAACTTGAGTAGGGAACCTCCAGTCTTAGTTCTGTGTCCACGTACTTACAGGAGGTTGCTTGAAATAGAAGAAGAAAATTTTCAAGCAGCAGGCAGAAAGAAAAGTGTTCCTAATGACTGCATGGCGAGTACTTTAAGACAATTACAAGATTATCACCAGAAATCCTTCTGAGTTCATAAAATCAACTTAGGAACAAGACTTATTTACCAGTATCTGAGAGACGAACCTACAATAAACTTCGTGTACGTTTGGTTTGCACAGTTTAAAGGTGATAACTTTGCAACATTTTGAATTATCGAAACAGAGGAAAGTCTTGATATTAAAGTGACGACCACCCTCAGAGAACCCAGCAAAAAAGCCTGATATCAGTTTATCTTTAAGCAGCTTAAAAACAGGTAAATAGAGTGGAGAAGACTTAATTTTGAATTGAATGCCAAAAGTAGGTCGGGCATAAAGAAGCTACCACAGAGATATCCCAATTTTGTCTTTGTAAGAGCGGCCTTTCCAGACAGTGCTTATTCAGAAAGCTTCGTTAACTGCTCTTAAGCTTATGTGCATGTAATGATGGAACTGTAGGTACGATCAGCTTTAATTTTTGAACCGCCTTCTAAACAGAGATAACTCTTTTGTTTTCGTCAATCAGCACAGGTGTCAATTTAGGAGTAAAAGATATGTATTTGTAGACGTTGACGATTTTCCTTTCTCGTTTGTAACTTTGGTAAACATTGTAATTTTGACATACCTCAGACGTCAACTAACACTCAGACAGATGATCACAGTGATCAACCAAACGTTTGCTTCTTGTAATTAGGTCAAGGCCTCAAAACACAGTCTTAATGGGCGACCCCTGGTCTATGACGCAGGTATAGAACGTAGTGCAAAAGGTGGCCAGGAGTAAACTGCGCTGTGTGGTATATAAAGGTATCGGCTTATACACCGTATGATTTGGATTGTGAAGATTTCCCTGTTCGTGTATAAATGCGCGGCATTACGCAACTGCGTTCCGGGGTGAGCCGGCTGCAGTTCCGTTGACCCCGGTAGAGGGTCAAATAAAACTAGTCGTCAAGATTTTAAAAAATCATAACTTTTTTCGGTTATTTTGTGGATCATACCGTATATTACAACATATTAGTTTGTGGTGTTTCTCTAGTGCACCGTACTATAATTTTTAACGCTTCGAAGTGAGTCACCTTGGGGTGCTTAACTATAGGAATCCCCATAGGGCGAAAACTGTGTTCTGCCACCTCAAGACAAAGCCGATGAGCAAACGTGTGTATATAATAGACCATAGGTCACAGCTTGTCTAGATCTGTCACTCAAATCTGTCATTGTACAGGTATATGTAGAAGCCGGTTGTAGAAAACATATGTTTTGCTTTGTGTGGATTTGCTTGGTCTTGTTTTGTTTTGTTTTGTGTGGATTTACTTGGTCTTGTTTTGTTTTGTGTGGATTTGCTTGGTCTTGTTTTGTTTTGTTTGGATTTGCTTGGTCTTGTTTTGTTTTGTGTGGATTTGCTTGGTCTTGTTTTGTTTTGTGTGGATTTGCTTGGTCTTGTTTTGTTTTGTGTGGATTTGCTTGGTCTTGTTTTGTTTTGTTTTGTTTTGTTTTGTTAGTGGATCTGTATTTGCTTGTTATCATTACCGTTTAGCGAGTATTACTAAAATACATAATTTTATTACACGCTCCTAATAGTTTGTACGTATTATCATATACATTGAAAAATGACACAGACTTTCCGTAGTCCTAGTTTCATTTTATTACTTACTTTACATCAAAGGGGCATTACGTAACATTTTTGCACCAAAATTGATATATTTTGATAGAAAATATCTTCCTGTGATTATCATTTACTTCCACTTTTCAGAGGATAAGCACCATATTCACAGACCAATAAAGGTACATTTTGTTTATGAAATAGACCTCCCTTCCAGTTCACATTGATTACAAAGATAGTTCAAGATATAGTAAGCTACAGTACCAAATAGCCAATACACCACGCACCTGTACAGTAGTCCATATATAGTATCACCGTCATAACACTCTGCTTCTTAGGGTTATCTTTTGATAAAAACTAAAAATATAACAATCATAAACCTCCCCTAATGCAGCATATAGTTTCAAATTAGCAAACAGTATGATACAACCCAACTCAAGGCCACAACACAGGTAGCCTGGGTTCCAGCCCCTTAGCACACTGGACACAAAATATCTCAGTGAGCCAGGATATTTTGTGTCCAGTGTGCTGTGGGTCTGGAACCCAGGCTACAACACAGGAGTAGAAAAAAGCTGAATGAAGAATTTTTTTTTTTAATTCGGGAAATTCTGGTTATATCCCCTTCACTCTAGAGGCGTAGTGAGCCGGCTATTCGAAGTGCATTCTTCAAAATTCGAGGGACATTCCAAATACTCAGGGTTTTTGCTTCTCACTTGAATGCTATCAGAATGTTTCGAACGCGTTTAGAATGCTGTTGGAGTATTTAGAGTGCTGTTAGAATACTGAGTTAGAATACACTTCGAATGCCCATTGGTATTTTTCCACTTCGAATGTACCTCGAAGAATAGGCACAAATATTTGGAATCTAGAACGAGGAATTTTCTAGAATGCACTTCAAATATCCAGGATTGGAAAATACTAACAAATTTCTTCCAGATGACATTCTAGTTTATTCCGCCTCTCGTGTGGGGGTATTATCGAAATATATACTAGTACTAGTATATGAAAAATATATGACAACAGTCTAGTGTTTATTACTCTTGATTCATTGAAAATATGACAACAGTCTAGTGTATCGTTCTTACTCTTGATTCACTTTACGTGTGACGAGTGTTGTTTTTATGATTTTGTGAGGCGTACAACATTCTTCTCCTATTCACTGCTACATGATATCTTGCCTTTGCTTACGTGGATATGAGGTATATAAATACTGTAGGGTATATCGTATAAACATATTCGTATAAAATAAGTTGCTATATATGTACGTGCACTTTTTGTTACATACATGTATATGCAGCTTCCCTCATCCAAATATATACCTGGTTGCCGTTCAATCGTTATCTTAGGATCAAGTGAGTGATCATCAGGGCTCGAAATCTCACCTGTATATGCAGGTTAGTGTAGCTAAAATCAGAGTTATTCAGGTATTTCTGATGTCTACCTGTACCTAACCTGCACTGGTCCATGTACAGGATATATGCAGGTTAGTGTAGCTAAAATCAGAGTTATTCAGGTATTTCTGATGTCTACCTGCACCTAACCTGCACTGGTCCATGTACTGGGCATATGCATGTTAGCGTAGGTAAAGTTGGAGCTGTGCAGATATTTCTGATGTCTACCTGTACCTAACCTGCACTGGTCCATGTACTGGGCATATGCATGTTAGCGTAGGTAAAGTTGGAGCTGTGCAGATATTTCTGATGTCCACCTGTACCTAACCTGCACT